ATTATTTTAGTTTTTTTATTTATTTTTATTTTTTTATTTTTTTTTTTTTTGGATATAATAAAAAAATAAAAAATAATGATGTGTAAAGATTTTTTTTTTTTTTTTTTTTTTTAAATATTTTATTTTTATTTTTATTTTGACAGTTTTAATTATATACAGCGTGATTCAATCAATGTATTTCATCTAAAATAACTATTTACTTCTTTCTCTTTTTAGTTGATTGGTTATCTATTACTAAAAAAAAAAAAAAATTGAAAATTAATATTTTTTTGATTTGAAAAAAATTTGGATATTATTTGAAAAAATGAAAATGTGGGAATTTTATTTTTACAATTTGGTAAATCAAATATAAACGATAAATTGGTACTTACTTTTATTTGATGCTAATGTATTTGAAATTATTCTTTTGGTTGCTTCACTATCGATTTTTACTTTGTTTTCTACACATAATCATTAAATATTGAAAAAAAAAATAAAAAAATAAAAAAAATAAAAATTTCAAAAAAAATTAGTATTATTATAAAATTTTGGACCATTATTATAAATATTTTTTTTTTTTTAATAAAATTACCTGTTTCATCATTTGTATTATTATTGTTATTATTATTTGAAAGGGTTTTAAGTTTTTGAACATATGGTTTGATTCTATCCTATATTTTTTTTTTTTTTTTTTTTTTTTTTTTTTTTTTTTTTTTTTTTTTTTTTTTTTTTTGGGAATATTGGTTTTTTGGGGAAAAAGGCCAAAAAAAAAAATTTAAAAAAAAAGTTTAATAAATAGTTACTAATTCTGTTTTAACTTGATGATCATGTGGTGAAACACCTTGGGTTTGTAAATACACTATAAAAAGAAATGTTTTGTAAGTAAAAGGGATGATGTTTTTTAAAATAAAATTAAAATATCAAAAGACACTTACTAAAAAATAAAGAATTTAAAGCATATGCAATGGTAATATTTAATTTGGCAGATTCGATTGGTGATAATGATTGTTGATGTTCTTTAAGTGGCACTTTAAAAAATGATTCTAATTGTGATTCTAATTTATCTAAAACATTTTCAAAATTATTAATATCTTGTTGAATATCGCTTGGTAAGTCTGATCCCATTTTAATTATTAAGGCTCCTATATTAAAGTATTGGGGTTTGTATGATACTGATATAAAGTTTCTAAACTAGTTATATAAATGATGAAATTTTAAAGTTGGTTATTTAAAAATATTTTCGGATTTATAGTTAGAAAAAAAAAAATAAAAAAAATTAATAATTAAAAAAAAAAAAACGAAAAAAAACTGATTTTAATTTTTTAATTTTTTTTTATTTTTTTTTAATTTTTTTTTTTTTAATTTTAACATTTTTTTCTGTTCTTTTTTTTTTTTTTTTTTTATTATTATTTAATAAAACACTAAATCCTTTTAGCACAATAGTAATAATTTTTGTATTGTCGAGCAAAAATATTTATCGCAACTAAATTTGTCCTTTTAAAATAAATATATAAATTTTTTAAAAAATTATATTTTTTTTTGTTTTTTAATTATTTTTTTAAAAATTTTTTTTTTTTTTATATTTTTTTTTTTAAATAAAATATCAATACAATATACACCCACTTTAAATATTTATTTATTCATAGCACAATCACAAATATAAAATAATCGATGGAGACTGGAACAGCAGAAATGAATGGTAATGGTCAAGAGAGATATACGGATACGCCTCAACAACAACAAACACAACAACCAGTATCAGATGAACAAAAGAGACCAAATTATATACTAAAATACACATTAAAAGGACATCAAAAAGCAATTTCATCCGTTAAATTTTCACCTGATGGTAAATGGTTAGCTAGTGCATGTAAGTTTACCATTTATTATTAACCAAAACTATCATCAGTAACAATAGTAAAATAGTAATCTTATACTTATATATTTTTAATTATTTAATATTATTTAGCTGCTGATAGTACAATTAAAATTTGGGGAGCATATGATGGTATATTTGAAAAAACATTAGAAGGTCATAAAGAAGGTATTTCAGATATTGCATGGTCACACGATTCAAAATTTATTTGCTCAGCATCAGATGATAAAACTATTAGAATTTGGGATATTGAATCTGTAGGATATAATAGATATTTATAAAATTGTTTTTTAAAACCAATAATTATTAACATATTTTATTTTTTTATTTAGCCAAAACCAATAGCAATTTTAAAAGGTCATACTCAATATGTTTTTGGGGTTTCATTTAACCCTCAATCAAATTTAATTGTAAGTGGTTCATTCGATGAAAATGTTAAAATTTGGGATGTCAAAACAGGTGAATGCACAAAAACTTTGCCAGCACACTCTGATCCAGTAACAGGTGTTCATTTTAATAGAGATGGTACTTTAATAGTTTCAGGTAGTTATGATGGTACAGTGTAAGTTATCAATACTATCACCAACAGCATATTATAATATATAATATTAATTGTAATATTTATAATTTTATAGGAGAATTTGGGATACATCAACAGGCCAATTATTGAATACAATTTCAGCAGATGAAAGTCCTCAAGTTTCATTTGTTAAATTTTCACCAAATGGTAAATTTGTTTTAACTGGTACATTGGATAATACATTAAGACTCTGGGCTTACAATAGCAATAAAAAATGTTTAAAAACTTATACTGGTCATAAAAATGAAAAGTATTGTATATTCTCATCATTTTCAGTTACAAGTGGCAAATGGATTGTTACAGGTTCAGAAGATCATCTTATTTATATTTATAATTTACAAACAAAAGAAATCGTTCAAAAACTAGAAGGGCATACAGATGTAGTTTTAACTGTTGCTTGTCATCCAACAGAAAATATTATCGCATCAGGTGCATTAGATAAAGATAAAAGTGTAAAGATTTGGAAATCATATGATTAATAACAAATAATAATAATAATATAATATACAATTTAATACGATTTTTTTAATTTAATATTTAAAAAAAAAAAATTAATTTTTCTCCATAAACAATAATAATAATAAATAATTAATAATAATAATAATAATAAATAATTTATAATAATAATAATAAGAATCTTTATCATAAACAATCACTAACCTGCTAAAACTAGTTTAAATAAAATAAACTTTTAATAAAATGTACTATTTGTCAAATAAAAAAAATATTGTATTTTAAAAACTATAATTAATTATAGTTTTTATAAATCTAAAATTAACTTTTTTTTTTTTTTTTTTAATTTTTTTTTGTTTATTTATTTATTTAAATTAAATATTTTAAAATCTATTTAACCCATTTTTGATTTCTTTTTAATTTTACCTAAAGCTTCTAATTTTGATTTTCTCTTCTTTTCTTGTTTTTGTCTCTTTTCTCTTTCTACATCCAATTTATCTTGTTTCTTCTTAGTTTCAACAGCACGACTCTCTCTTCTTTGTTGTTCTTTTTCAATCTTTTTATCTTTAATGGTTTGTAAACGTTTCATGAGGTCTGCAACTTGTTGTTCGTGGGGTTCTACAATATTAACACGACTTGAAAGAAGGATATCATCTTGATTTTTGATAACTCTTTGTTTTGGTTTGGCTTCGAATGGGAGTTGTGATTGAAGTTTGGTTGGGATTTTAAGTTGTTTAAATGATTTTTGTTCTCTTTCAACTTTAAGGCCTTCATAGGATGAGTCTTTTTTAACTGGAGCACTTAAGTTGTTTTCGTAACGTAATTGACCAACAGTCTTCATACCTTGCCAGCTGGTCTTCTTTTCTTGGAGGAGTGAGGTAACTGGATTATAATATTTAGTTGGGGTGACAGTGTACCAAGTACGAAGGAATACAATATCTGATGGAATTAATTTATCTTCGAATGTTGCACGGAATGCACCTTCTGGATGAGAAAGTGGTTTCTTAATGGTACCACGAATACCAGATACAGTACGAATAGTAGCACCAACAAATTTGGCAACTTCAAGACGACTGGTAAACATACCATTTACAAAACATGTTTTCTTTAAAATCTTATCTGGATGACCAATTAATTTCAATTTCTTTACAACATCGATTGAACTATCTAAATCTAAAACTGTACCAGTGGCACTAACACGGAAGCTAGCTTGATTATTATTTGAATTGGTGAAAGCAGCAAAGGCAGTACCTGGAGGTGTAAGTGGACCATAAAAACTGGCGTGACAATGCATATGCTCTGGGGTATATTTAAGCATACGATTACGGCCATTAATATCTTTGGTGGAGTATAATACCATGGTTTGGAAACGACGCCAACCGACACTGACAATAAGTGGATCGTTTGATTTCAAAATCTTTTTGTGCCAACGATGTTTCTTGATGTTGACGTTAATCATACCAAGATTTTCTTCATTACTTAAAAGACCACCTACTACTACTGGGTATCTTGGGTCAAAATATTCAGAGAACTCGCATGGGATTTTTTCAAACTCGACTCTAACATAAACACCAATTGGGAAACCTTCATATTTAGTACGATAAAATTGATCATCTTGTTCGAATTCTTTTTCATTAATTTCTCTTTGACGTCTGGCCTCTGCATTTAATTCACCCTCATAATCTTTTTCACCCTCTTCAAACTTAGCATTAATCTTTTCAATTTGTTTTTGTTTCTTTGATTTATTCTTTTCTCTTTCTTTTTCAACATCGCTGCTTTCTTCATCATCATCTGAACCTTTTTCTTTATCTTCGTCATCTGAATCTTCTTCATCACTATCTTTTGGTTGAGTTGAGCCTGCTTCATAAACTTTACCAGTTTCTAAATCTTCAAAATCACCAAATAATACTTGATCTTCACCATCACCTGAATCGTTTTTACCAACTGCACCAACTGATTCTAATTCACCTTTTGAAACAAATTTCTTTTTGAGTAATTCTTTAATTTCTTCACTCTTAAGATCGTGTGTTGAATGTATATATTTAGCTGAATCTAAAGCATCTTTAGCTGAACCTTTATCTGAACTTAATTTTAATGAACTAAAACCACCTTTTCTAACTGTAAAGAAATCGTCATCATCTTGGTCGTTTCCTTTTTTACTATTCTTATTGTTTACATTTGATAAATCATCACCATAAATTAGTTTTGTTAAATTAACTGGATTATTTGAAATTGTAAAGTTTGGTTTCATTTTTTCTTTCCATTTTGCACTTTCACCAGTTTCTTCGTCATACTCTTCTTCTTCTTCATCTTCTTCTTCGTCATCATCATCTTCTTCTTCGTCTTCTTCTTCATCTTCGTCCTCTTCATCATCCTCATCTTCATCATTTCCACCTTTATTTTGTGGATCGTAATATTCTTCATCACTTTGTAAATCGTCTTCATCATCAAATGCAATTTCATTTCTTGATTCCTCCTCTTCTTCTTCATCTTCTTCTTCTTCAGCATCGCTATCATCTTCATCACCTTCGTCATCACTATTGTATTCAGTTGGATTTTTCTTTAAATCAACAAATTTAACCTTTCTTCTAACTCTACCATTGATATCTTCTTTAACTTCAACCTTTTGAGTACCGTTTGTTGGCATATCTGGTTCGTCATAATATTCTCTATCACTAATCTCTTCAATTTGAGTATATGTATTATTTGCTTTAATAGTTGTTGGTTTACTTGAGAATAAAGAAAATTCTGAATTTTTCATTTTTTCATCAATTGAGAATTGAGTATTTTGAAGTTTCTTTACCATACTTTCACCTTCACCTTCCTCGTCACTTTCATCTAAAAAAAATAAAATAATTTTTAGTTAATATCATAAAGAATTTTAACCATTGATATTAATATTAATCTACTTACCAACTTCTTTTGAAAAAGCTAATTTGTTATCTGGAATATTAATATATACAGCATCTTTATCGAAAATAATAGAGTTACCAATATCGCACATTGGAGCATAAATAAGACGTTCTTTTTCATTAAGAGTTTTTTTTCTTTCTTGTGGTAAAGGACATGGATCTGGCATTGATGTAATTGATTTCATAATATAATCACCACTACCTGGGATATGAACTTTCATATGTGGTTTCAAATAGGTACCACGAACATAACCATAAAGACAAATATTTCTATCGGCTTTTTTATTATTTCTTAAAACTTCTGGGTCAGTTGTATCTTCAAATCTATCAACATATACATATGGATGTGTATTTCTCCAAGTTAATGGTACAAAATTGGCAACTGAAATAAATCTTGCTAAATTATGAATTTCAACTTTTGGATATTTGCCGTGAATTACACCTGATAAGTAAAATAATTTTGCACCCTAAATTATAATTAATAATAAAAAAAAATTAATATTTAATATTTTATGAAAAAAAAATGAAAAAAGAAAAACTCGTCGTTTTTTCCAAAAAAAACCTTGAAATAAATAACCTGTTACTTACTTCGTAAATTTCAGTCCAAAATCTATCCTTAAACTTCTTTTTGGTCTTTTTTAATTTTTTATTATTTTTGAAACCATCTAAATGGGTTAATACACCAATAACTTTTGGGAAACCATGAGTTTTGAGAATGTTTAAAAATTCGAAAGTTTCCATTTCAAAACCATATGATGCATCGATAAGAAGTAAAACTAAATCTGCAACTTTTGCTGTATCTATCATTGAGTTTAAGTCGTTATTGCACTCGATAAAAGTAAGACGACGTTTTTTACCTGCTACAATTGTGATTGGACCTTTAACTTCGTTAATTGAATGTCTAGTATAGTTTTTGATTAATGATCTAATTAAAGTAGTTTTACCGCATTGAGGTGGACCAACAACGGCAATAACATATGGTGGGGTTTCAATTGCTGTACCTGATCTATCAATAACTGGTAAATTGATTCTCTTTTGTTCTTTATCTAAAACACGACGTTGTTGCTTTAATGATGCATATGATGTATTGGCAATGAAAGCCTTTGGATTTCTTCCTTTTAATGCCTCATTTTGTTCTAATCTCTTTAATTTTGCTGCTTTCTTTTTATTTGCTTTAGCACCAGCTTTACTAACTCTATGTACTTTTTTCGTATCTTTACTTATATCCATAATTTATTATTATTATTTAAATAATTATTATCTTTTAAAAAAAAACAATAATAAAAACAAATAAATAAATAAAAAATTATAATAAAAAGTTTTGATATCACTAAATAAAAAAAATAATTATTATTTTAAAAAAAAACGAAACAAATTTTTTTAACCGAGTAAAAAAAATTAAAAAAAAAAAAAAATTAAATCAAAAAAATCAAATTATTTTTTTTTTTTTTAAAAATAAATAATTAATTACAGAATTAATATTTCCATTCATATTTTTCTTTTTTTAATCAAATAGTTCAATTATAAATCAAATATCCATATTTATTTTATCTGTTTATAATTTAGGTATTTTTATTTTATTTATTATTTTATTTATTTTTATTTTCTTTTTTAAATTATTATATTTAAAAAAAAGATAAAATGGAATACCTAAAAATAGTTTCAAAAAGTTTGAACAAATTTTTTTAATTTTAAAAAAAGAAAATGAAAATATAAATAAAACTACTAATTGTACATATAAAAAAAATTGGTCAAAGGGGTCAACAAAATTTAAAAAACACATCATAGAAAAAATGTTTTTTTAATTTTTTTTATTTTTTTTTTTTTCATTTTTTTTTAATTTTTTTTTTTAAAAATTGAAATTTTTAATTTTTTTTTTATCATCAATTTTTATATTATTTATTTATATAACTATATTAAATAAAACATCATGGATATTTTAGAAGAAACAGCCGCCCCATTAAAAGACTTTGCCAAAAACTCTGTCCGTTTATTCAAAAAATGTACTAAACCAGATGCTCAAGGTATGTAAACAATGTTTTTAAAAAAAAATTCATATGAAAAAAAGTCATATTAATTTATATATTTTTCATTTTAAATTAGAATTCCAAAAAATTGCTCTTGCCACTTTAATCGGTTTTGCCATTATGGGTTTCATTGGTTTCTTTGTTAAACTTATTCACATCCCAATCAACAATATTCTTGTTGGTGGTGTCTAAATTATTATAACATATATAAAAAAAAAAAATCAAATCAAAAACAGATAATCAAATATAAACCAAATTTTATGTATACAGAACTTTTTTTTTCCAAACAACAATGAAACAACAAACAACACAATTCAAACTCAAACTAAATTAAAATATAAATCATAATCAAAGCTTTTGGATTATGTTAAAAAAAAAAATAAAAAAAAAAAAGATTTAAAAAAATAACTCTATCGTTTCTAAAACTTTGACCAATCAGTTTTATTTTGGATAAAGCGTTATATATTTTTAGTTTATAGATTATCATTTAAATACAAACACAGGAATTTTTTTGTTTTTAATTTTTTATTTTTATTTATAGTTTTTTTTAGAATGGTAATTTACTTAATACCAAGTTTTGATTAAATCCAAATTTCCATTCAGTTTTGGTGATCCAAATTTCTTTTGTACTTTCTAAACAACCTAAAATAGCACCACCTCTCCAACTTGTATTTTTTAAATCGACATCTTGTCTTAGACCGCCACCTACAGCAAAACCAATATAGTTTTCTACATTAGTAGGGGGTTGTGGTAATGGAGGTAGTTGTGGTTGAGGTAATTGTTGGGGTGGTTGGCCTGACTGTTGCTGTTGTTGTTGTAATAAATTTTGTTGAGCTTGGTGTTGTTGTAAAATTTGTTGTTGTTGTTGTTGGGCTTGTTGCAATTGTTGCTGGAACTGGGCTTGTTGTTGATCCATTTGCTGTTTGAATACACGTGCTTTAATAGCATCTGGTAAACCTGGTATTAATGCACCCCCACCTACCAACAATATATTTGATAAATATTTTTTTTTATTTATTTCACTCCTTTCTAATTGTGAAATACTCTTATTGATTGCTGTATCTAATGGTATATCAATTTCTTTGCCATCCTCATCGGTAATAGATAAATTATTTTTTGATTTTTTAGTGGGTGATACTGCTGTTGAGGATGATGTTGATGGTACTTTACTATTTGGATTGGTGCTAATATTGGAGGAGCTACTATTGATATCATTGATTTGAGCAGTTGGTATAGTTGGGGTGTTTGTATTGTTAATAACAGTTGTAGAGGTAGTTGGGGTTGCAGTAGAGGCAAATGTTGCAGGGGCACTTGCAGTACTGGTCATTGTGGATGGGTTAACAATTGGAGCGGTTGCAAAAATATCCTCAGTATCAAATAGGGATAAATAATAGTTGAATGAATATTGACCACTAGTATCACCTTTGACTAAACCTAGTTTTGAATTTGTAATTAATGAGGTTGAGCCACCACCAAATTTACTTAAAATTTCTGGATAAAATAATGACATTGCAACAAAATGATAAACTTCATCAGCATTAAAATGATAGATGTTAATTTGATTTGGTTGCTTTAATGCTTGAACTTTAAAACTACCAACTTTTTGTTTTTGTGGGTCATTCTAATTAAAATATTAAAGATATTGGTGAATATTTATACTAGTAATTTCATTTTATTAAGAAATAGTATAACTTACAAATAAATAATCTAAATTTTCATTTTTGATTGATTCAAAGACATTTAAATAAAATGGAGAAAAGTCAATTGGTTCAGCTTCGCTTGATTTAAAAGGGAAATAATATTTATGTACCCTATTGGATTGATCTATTGCCAAAAAGTATTCTAAAAGTTTGGTTAGTTGTTCACCACCATATTTTAATGTGACACGTGTGTTTGGGATTAAATAACCCTCATCAATACAACAGATTGATATTTTCTGATGACCAATATCAATAACACATGTTTGAGTTGATACTGACATACCAAATGTTGAACATACTGATTCTTGGAATAATAAAACACTTGTAAATTGTAATTCTCTAAATAAAAGTGATACAATGGTTTTTATATTTTTTTTATCAATATTATCTTGTGCAACATAAACACATCCATAGCTCTGTATATATAAAAAACAAATGAATTAGTATTAATAGTATGAATGGTATTAATGTTTGTTTTAATGATATCTTACACTTAAATCAGTGGATGGTATATTTAAATATCTTTGAATTGCATATTTCCACATTTGGGTAATATCATCAAACATTGATTGTGATGAGTTATAAATACCGGTATTAAAAGTAGATAAAATAATTGGTTGGTAAGCAATCCACTCTTTTTTATTTCTTGAAACCTTAATAGCCTATTAATAAAGATAAATTAGTATATGAGTTATATACTTTAATTATTTAAAGTCTTTTATAAAACTTACATCTTCACCAATACAGTAATCAATTTCATTATAGTCTAGTTGTGGTGGTTGATATGTTGCATTTGCTAAGTTTTGTTTCTTTTTCTTTTTTTTTGTTTCTGGAATAATCTCGCATGAGGTAGAATTATTTTCATTATATAAGGTTGTTTTTTGATTAATTTTGATATAGTCTGCTGGTGGTAATAATTTGGATGTTTCTTTAGTTGATTGCTGAATGGTTGAAATTAGTTTATCGGATATATTAATATTAATATTTTCAACTGGTTCGATTTGTTGTTCTTGATTATTATTTATTAGTGCAGAGTTTGGAATTTCCATTTTTACATCTTCTTGTTTTGGTTGTTGTTCAATATTTACAGGTATATCAATTTTCATTGGTTCATCATTTTTAATCTCTGTAGTAGTTGTAGTTGTTGTTGGTTGTTCAATAGTTTCATTCATAACTTGATCTTTTACTTCTACTTGTGAAGAACCATTTACTGGTTCTTTAGTTGTTGTATCCACATTATTATTGGTTGTCGGTTTATTATTTGGTTTGGTTGATTTTCTTCTTCTTGCAATATAATTTGGAATTGTTTTTGGTACAGGATCGGAGGCTAAACCAATTCTTAAAGAATGTGATCCGTGATGAATCACAATTACTTTACTTTCCATTATTTATATTTAATTTATAAAAAAAGGGTATAAAAAAAGAATAAAACCAAAATGTTATAAATAAATGAAATTACAATTTAAAAAAATATTTAAAAAATAAAAAAAAAATTAAAAAATTATAAAAAAAAATGAAATATTTAAAAAAAAATATTTATATTTAAAAAAAAAAATTTTAAAAATTATTATAATAACTCTTTTTTTATCTTATTTTATTTGTTGTTTATATTAAAATTGTTAAAACTGGACTTAGTTTTCTATTAAATAAAATGATTTCATGAATTATTAATTTTAAAAAAATATAAATTACTAATTCAACTTTAATTTAAAAATTTAAAAAATTGAAAATTTAAAAAAAAAAAAAAAGAAAAAATAATAATATTTTGAAAACTATTCCAATATAAATTATAATTTTTTTTAATTTGAATTATTGGAATTATTAAACAAAACAGTGTTCAGTAATAATAATTCATTTTTAAAAATTGTTTTTTAAACAGTGTTTTATATTTTTATATTTTTTTTTTTATTTTTTTTTTTAAAAAATAAATGAAGATGATTCTTAATGATACATTAAGTCATCGGAATTTTTTAATGTTTTTTGTTTTGTTTTGGTATGTGTTTTGTTCTTATTTGATACCACTTCATATAATATTATTAACATCACCAACAAACAATAATCAAACATTTATATACAAATAATAATTTAGGTTTTTTTTTTCTCATTCAATCTATAATATACACTCCTTTTTATTTAAAAAAAAAAAAGAAGAAATTATTTATTTATTTATTCAAATATGAGATTAAAAAAATTGATTTAAAAAACAAATGGTAATAATAATAGAGATTCTTATTTTTGGTATTTTAAAAGGAATATAAAGTTTTAAGCTGAATATAACATTCAAATCCTCTTTATATTAAAAATAATAAGTATTTTCTTTTTAGTTTATTTTTATAATTTATGAAATTAATTTTTATATTTTTTTTTTACAATTTTTAATTTTTATAATTTTTTTTTTTTATTTTTTTTTTAATTTTTTTTTATTTTTTTTAATTTATTTTTTTTCATTATTTTTATTACACCACACCTTTTAAAAACAATAAATAAAGATACACTCCATTTTAAAAATAATATTTTAAAAAAATACGATCTTTACCAATTTAAAACTCATTGTATTATATGTATATTTTAATTAACCAAACACAGATTTGTAAATAAATAAATTAATTAATCAAAACCTACATATATACCGATCATCATTATTATTAAAACAAATATAAAATGCATTCAACTCCATCAGGTTTATGTAAGTATTGTAACTATATTGTGATTTTTAAATCCTTTAGAGATACTAATCTATAAAACCAATATTTTTTAGATAATGCCCCTTTTACAAAATTTTTATTATTAGGATCAATTGCGATTAATTTAAGTTTTGGATATGTTGTATTTAAAAAGGTACCGGGAGATAAGGCTTTGTCTCTTAGTGGAGTAACAGGTTTTTTAGTTTCACAATTTTTATATAATTCAGTTCCAGAGATGGTATTTGGTTTGATTTTCATTTATTCATTTAGAATATTTGAAAGAATGTTAGGAACATCGAAATATGCATTGTTTTATTTATCATCAACTGGTGTCTCAGGTTTATTACAATTATCAGCCAATGTTTTAGCTGGCAAAGCTTTCAGATTTTCACCGTATGTAACATTGATAATAAAAAATAGTGGTATCAAACTATTTGTATATTAACTTTTTTTTTTTTAAAATTTAAAATTTAAATTTTAAATTCTAGATTTTCATTCATTTTTTCATGTTTAGTTTTATATTATAAAGATATACCTCCAACTATGTGGTTTAAATTATTCAAGGTACCATTAACCGATAAATCAATTACTTATTTCTTTGCAATTCAAACCATGTTTGGATTCCCACAAAACTTTACATCCAACTTAATTGGTGTTGCATCAGGTATGATCGCATCATCATCTGTATTAGGATTATCATCATTAAATTTCCCAAGAAAAGTACGTGCTATTTCCAAACGTATCTTTTTACCATTATTACAATCACAACCACCAAACACCTCATATCGTCAATATTTGGAAAGACAACAAAGAAGAGGCCACAATCTATATATGAACGACAACCCAATGGCTGCTTTCCAACAACAAATCAATCACAACATCACTCAAATGAACCAACCACCAGTAGTCCAACCACAAGTCGTTCAACCATCTGAGGATAATATTGAAACATTAGTATCAATGGGTTTCCCAAGAGAACGTGCCATTCAAGTTTTACAAAGAACAAATAACAATTTAAATGAAGCTGCTTCAATTATTTAAATAAAAAATATATTTATTATGGATGAAAAAAAAAAAAAGAAATAAATAAGATAAATTTTTTTTTTTAAAAAAAATAAATAAAATAATTATATGTAGGATTCCAAATAAATTTATTTATTACTTTTTATTATTAACATTTATAATAGTATTTTTTTATTGTTATTAAAATCTTAAATTCGATTGGGATCATTACTAAGTTTACATTATATATTTGATTTTTAAATTTTTTTTATTCGGCCAATGGGTAACTTTTTGCTTGTTGACGAACCTTTTTAACATATTCATCTTTATCTTGCCTGTATATTTAAATATCCACAATAAAAAGAACAATGGTTAATAGCTTATCCAATTATATAATATGACCACTATTTTAATTATCTTACAAAAATAAATGAATTGGGAGTTGTTGAGCTGGACTCTTTGGATTTGGGTTATCTAATAAATCTTGAATACCTAATAAAACTGTTTTAATTGTAATTGAAGGCTTCCAATCGGACTCCTCATTTAAAATACTCAAACAAACAGTACCAGATGGGTAAACATTTGGATGGAAAAAGTCTTTTGGGAATCTACATTTTGGTGGTTTACTTGGATAATCCTCTGTAAATTCCATTGTAAGTGGGTATACACCATTTTCCCAAATAGTCTAATTATTGTTATTATTATTATTATGATGATGATGATGATATAAGTTAATAAACAATGTTTCTTTCCTTTATATTTTAAAAATTGATTGCTTGGTGATTGATCGATTTTGAAAAATTAACTTTAACAGTTAATTAACATTAATATCTCCTTTTCTTTTTGTTAATATAATACATACATCTTTTTTACCTGGGATACCACAACTCCAAACAAAAAGATTTAGTGAACCATCTGTATTAGTTGTTGGTCTTGCATAAAAACCCTAAATTAATGAATTAATTTCTATTATTAGTTCCCATTTGGTTTTCTTTGCATTATAATTAATGATAATTTAATTTGGTAAGTGAAATATAAAATTTCTTTTGATAAAATATAATTTTTTAAAAAGCTTATTTAAACAATCGTTTTATAATCAACACATACATATGGATGATCTTTTCTCCAATTTTTACGCTCCTCTGATAATCTAGCTGATGATATTCCTGCCATTATTTATATGTATACCTGTATTTGTGTAGTATTTAACTATATTACTTTAATATAAATATAAAATTAAATAAACACTTAAATCTAATTTAAAATAAAAATTAAAAAAAAAAAATAAAAAAAAATAAAAAAAAAAAAAAAAAAGTTTTGGTTTGTTTTGAAAAATTTTTAAAAATAAAAAAAAAAAAAAATTTAAAAAAAAATTTTTTAATTAAATTTTTTTTTTTTTTAATTTTTTTCATTTTATTGTGTGTGTAAAAGCAAAATCAAAATTCGAATACCCAAACAACAAAATCCTGAAGTGTTTCCAGAATACAACACCTCCACATCGACCACCCACACATTCGCACATATCGATACTATACCATATCATACCATACATATATATATAAATCATATACATAAAACATGGCTTTATTAGAACCATTTTTAAAGAGTAATTACTTTTTTTTTATTATTATTTGGCTATTTTAAAACAGCAATTTAAACTAACGGTTTTTTTTTATTATTATTCTTAGAAAAAGTACTCGTTTTAACAGCTGATGGTAGAAATATTATAGTTTGTATTGATATATATGGATGATATTATTTTATATTTAATAGTCATACTAACTCGTTATATTTATTTAGGGAATTTTAAGAGGAACCGACCAAACAACTAATGTAATTTTAGAAAAGTGCGAGGAAAGAGTTTTTTCAGATGAGGGTATTGAAGTTATTCCTTTAGGTGTACATCTTATAAAAGGGGATGATGTGTAAGAGAAGAATAGATTATTTATTAATAAACTCAATGTATATATACTTATATAACCTTTTTTTTATATTAAAACAACAAATAAATATAGTGCTGTTATAGGTGAAGTTGATGAAGAATTGGATAGAAATTTAAATTTAAAAGAAACTATAGCAGAACCTTTGAAACCTATTGTTCATTAATAATATAATAATATAATAATAATATAATAATATAATAATATAATAATATAAAGGAAAAAAAAAAAAAAAAAAAAAAGAAATGAAAATTAGAACAGCTATTTTCTTGGAAGATCTAAACAAGAATCTGTAATAAAAAAAAATAATAAAAAAAAAAAAGAAAACTTTATTTGTAAATATAAACACACTACAATAATTATCTCACACTACATATTCAAAAACAAAAAAAATAAATAAAACTTTAACAATATTGTCTTAAGACAAAATATTTATATCTTTAAGAACAACAATGTCTGCTTTAATTACCCACACTTCACACCAAGTTATTTTTAAAAAACAAAAAAAAAAAAAAAAAAAAAAAAAGATATCTATTAAATTATACCCACACTTTTTAAATTTTAATCTCTCTGACTCCCAGACTGTATAGTGCAGAAAGCAAGCTCTACCATTCTTCTTTTATCCAATAAAATATTCCAATACTCCCATCCAATAAAATTATTGATGACCTTTTTTTATTTTTTGTATTTTATTTTTTGTATTTTATTTTTTGTATTTTATTTTGTTTTATTTTATTTTGTTTTATTTTTTTTTGGAAATAAAACTTTTTAAATTTAAGTTATTACACAACATATCAATATACATGCTTTAGGAACAAGCAAAAAAAAAAAAATTTATTTTTATATTTTATTTTAAACTTTTTTTTTTTTTTTCTATTTTTATTTATTTTTTTAATTTTTTTTTAATTTTTTATAAATCTAATAATAAAAGGGCATACTGGCCATTCAAATTACCAATAAATATATACCAATAAATATATAAATAGATAAATAAATTTTTTTCATTAAAATACAAATATACAACACCAATTTTTTTTTTTTTTTTTTTTTTTTTTTTTTAACATCTGTCATCTGCATTACCCAAACAACCGCCCTTTTTAATGAAAAATCCCTGTGTATATTTGGTTTTTTTCTTTATTTTTTTAAAAAAACCTGTATTATTTTTATTTTTTTCTTTTTTTTAATCTTTTTTTTTTTTTTTTTGGGTTTTGATATCATATCAATGCCCAATAAAAAAAAATAAAAAAAAATAAATTAATAAAATTAATAAAATTAAAAATAAATATAAAAATAAAAATAAAGCCATTTTCCCAATCAACTTTTTTTTAAAAAAAAATAAAAAAATCTTTGGGCAATCAAAATTATTTTTAATTTTTTTCAATTTTTTATAATTTTTTTTATATATTTGCAGACCTTACACCCACACATTTGCGAAAAAACGAACTAAAACTATCACCTGGTGAGATGTTCATATAATGAAAATATCAAAAAAAAAAATTTTTCAAAAAAATAGAAAATTGTGCATAGGGTTTGGTTTTTAATGATAATAGCAATAAAAAATAACAATTCATGCATACCTAAGATTTTTTTTTTTTTTTCTATTTTTTTTTTTTTTTATTTATTTTAATTTATTTTATTTTTTTTAATTTTTTTTATTTTATCAATCCAATTGTGAAAAAAAAAAAAAATATTTAAACCCCATCTTTTTTCATTCATTTTTTTTTTCTTTTGTCTTTGTACAACAACACACACTAATCAAATACAAATAATAATAATTTGAAATAATTTAATTCAAAGGTATCTAATTTATATTATAGTTCGAGTATTTTTTTTAAAAAAGATATTTTATTACTATAATTCTTGTTACTCTTTTCTAGTTATTTCTATTATAAATTTTTTAAACAAACAAACAAACACACACAAATTTTTATAAATATTTTTATATAAATTTTTATATTTTTTTTTTAATCATCTATTAAATTTATACTGTTCTTTGTAAAATAATATATCGACATTATAAATTTTATCTTTATTTTTTAAAACTTGTTTTATTCTTGTTCATTGTTAAATTTTAATCGACCTGAATAATTTTTATTTTAAAAAATATTTTCAACCCTTTTTTTTTATTTTTTTTATTCTTAACACACTTCATATTTTTAAAAAAAAATTTCCAATTTTTTGTTTAAAAATTTAATTTATCAATTATTTGTATTTTAAAACAACAACTACATATTCAACAACATATATCAAAACAAAATGTCAAAACCACAAAATATTGGTATTCATGCTATTGAAGTTTACTTCCCAAGTACCTATGTCGCCCAAGAAGATCTCGAAAAGTTTGATGGTGTTTCCGCTGGCAAATACACTCTTGGTCTCGGCCAAACCAACATGGCTTTCTGTGGTGATAGAGAAGATATCTATTCTTTATCATTAAATGCTGTCAATAACCTCATGGAAAAGTTCAATGTTGATCCACAATCCATTGGTCGTCTCGAAGTCGGAACTGAAACTGTCATCGATAAATCAAAATCTGTCAAAACCGTTCTTATGGATCTCTTTGCCAAACACGGTAACACTTCAATTGATGGTATTGATACCATCAATGCTTGTTATGGTGGTACATCTGCCCTCCATAACGCTCTCCAATGGATGGAATCCTCATATTGGGATGGTCGTAATGCTATTGTAGTTGCTGGTGATATCGCTGTATACGAAAAAGGTCCAGCTCGTCCAACTGGTGGTGCTGGTGTTATTGCTATGCTCATTGGTCCAGATGCTCCAATCGTTTTCGAAAGTGGTCTTCGTGGTGTTCATATGGAAAATGTATATGATTTCTACAAACCAGATATGGATTCTGAATACCCAAGAGTCGATGGTAAACTTTCCATCTCTTGCTACTTTAGAGCAATCGATAACTGTTACAATCGTTATGCTAAAACTTTCGAAAAGAAATATGGTCAAAAATTCACTCTTGATCAAGTAGATTATGCTCTTTTCCATTCACCATACAACAAATTAGTCCAAAAATCATTTGGTAGAATGGTAAGTAACCAGTTTTATACAGATATAAAAAAATTTAGAACTCAATATTAATGTATACCTTTTTTATTTATTTTTTTCAATTTAGTTATATAACGATTTCTTAAATAATAAAAATGACGCCAAATTCCAAACTTTAGAACAATACAAACAGTTCCAACCAGAAGAAACCTATTTCAATACCGATCTTGAAAAAGCTTTAACTGCTCTTACTAAAACTGATTATCAAAGTAAAGTTGCACCAACTACAAACTTAGCTAAACAATTAGGTAACACCTATTGCGGTTCAACCTATGCTGGTCTCTTATCATTAGTCGACGAAAAATCAAACGATTTATTAGGTAAAAGAGTTTTAACTTTCTCATATGGCTCAGGTCTTGCTGCCAGTGCTTTCTCATTCAAAGTTGAAAAACCAATCAATCACATCGTCGAAAAGGTTGACCTCAAGAATCGTCTTGCTAATCGTGTTCGTGTTTCCCCACAAGAATTCACCGATAAACTTAGTCTTCGTGAAACTAGACACAATCTCAAAGATTATGTCCCATCAGATCAAGTTCAAAATATGTTCCCAGGTTCATTCTATCTCTCACATGTCGACGAAGCTGGTAAAAGAAAATATGATCGTACCTTTGCTACCTCATCACCATCACCATCAAGTTTTTTTCAAAGAAGATCACCAATGATGATCAACAAAAATAATCAAATGATGGTTAAAGGTTTAACTTTCAGAACTGCCAAAACTGTTTTAAGTTTATTAAAAAAATAAACACACCACCGCTCCATTAATTTTTTTTTTTAAATTAATTTTATATAATCCACAATTAACCAGAAAAAAAAAAAATCCAAAATAAAAATAAATATTTATATATTATTTTTTCATTCTAATAATCATCAAAAAAACAAAAATGCAATGTCATTTTATTTGAAACAATCAATTCCCATTTTTTTTTTTTATTAATTTTTTCTTTAATTTAAATTATTTTTTTTAATTTTTGAAATTAATTTTTTTTTCACAATTAATTTTTTTTAAAATTTTTTTTTTTTCATTTAATATTTTTTTTCTATTGTAATATTATCATTGTTTTGAACATAAATTTATATATTTGTTTTTTTAATTATTTTTTAATTTTCATAATCAATTTTTTTTTATTTTTTATTTTTTTTTTTCAAATTCATTTTTCATAATCATTTTTTTTTAATTTTTATTTTTTTTTATTTTTTTTATATTTTTTTGTATTATAATTTCACATATAGCTGTATTTATATATATATTTAAAAAAAAATGCTATCATTAACCAACAAGTTATTAAAAAATTCAAATAGTAATAAAAGTTTATTATTATTTTTAAATTGTGGTAAATTAAATTTTACATCAACCAAAGGAATAGAAAAGGAGTTTGAAAAAGAAAGTAAAAAGGAAACTGAAAGATATCACGAAGAATTGGATGATTTTTATTCAAATGGTAAAGAAAAGCTCTCAAAGTCCAAACGTCTCATTAATCAAAAAAAGAGCAAAAGAGTTGCACCAGTTGAAGTATTCCGTAATGCTATCGACTCAAATAAGGATGCCCCACAAGTAGACTATGTTGAGGGCAAGCTCCATTCATTCCCACCATTACCAGGCTCTAGAAGAACAAAGTTAAGAAACTATGAAGAAGATGAAGATGACTATAATGACTATGAGGATTATGGTGTTCAAACCAAAAGCAAAAACAAGTACAACAGCAAGAAAAGCAGAAGATATGAAGAGGATGATGAAGATGATGAAGACTTTGAAGACATTGAGGATTTTGAAGAGCTTGAAAACATCAAGCCACCAGTCGAATGGGAAAGTTCAGAAAAAGATGATTTCGATAAAGAAGATTGGGAAAGAGGTTTCTATAATGAGGCTGAAATTAGAAAATTAAAACATCAAGCAAAATTAAAAAGAGAAAAAGAAATTTTTATGGCCGAGCAAAGAAAGAAAAGACTCCTTAAATCAGGTTTCCAATATATCAATGATGTAGAAAAAAAGAGAACAGACCTTGCCGCTCAGATCCGTGAAAAAGGTGATAGACGTTTAAAACACTTTAAGCACCCAATTCTCTCTGAAAATGATGATTTAGCTCTCATAACATTCAAATTTTTCAAATTATTATATCTTACCAACGAAGATGTTCTTTACAATGATGATGTTTTAGATATTCCTTCCAAGATCTCTGTTCAAGATGTCGATGGTACTAAAATTGGTGAAATGACTGGTCCAGAAGCCTACAGAATTGCATACATTAGAAAACTCGATATTTTCCTTCAATATACTCCAGTTGGTTCAGTTATCGCAAGATTAATGAGAATGGAAGATTTCATTAAAATCACAGAAAAGAAATTTTTAGAAGAGAACCAAAAGAAATTAGACTCTGCCACAAAACAAACAAAGAATGTTTTAGTAAGTAAACCATAATACTAAACTATAAAATAATTAATTACTAATTCATTATTATTGTTATTATATTAGTTTTCCTCAACAATTTCAGAAAATGATAAACAAACTAAAATTAATCAAGTTAAAAACTTTTTACTTAAAAGACATACAGTTGAAGCTACATTAACATTTAAAGAAGTTATCGATGATTCTGTTGCAACAGAGTTTTTCGAAGCATTAGAATCTCAATTAACTGGTATTGCCAAACCCCAAGCCAACTATGGTAAGAAAGGTGGTAAAATAGCAAGTCGTTTCTATCATCCACTCAATGTCAAAGATAGAGATAACTATCTTAAGAAAATGCAAAAAGATGAAACCGAATCAGAAAAAAGATTAAGAGAACAATTAGAAAGAGAAGAGATTGATCGTTGTGAAGAAAGAGGCGAGGAACCAGACATGGCTGCAATCTCTGTCAAAGTTAGCGAAATCGTTAGAAAAAAGAGATTGGAAGAACTTTTTGATGAAAAAGATCTCTTCCTCTTAATGGAAGATGAAAGAAAAAATCAAAAAAAAGTTAAAAATGAATATTTAAATCAAGAGAAAAATAAATTAGCCCCAACAGCAGGTGAAACTTTATCAAATAAACAAATTAAACAAAATATCAACAAGAATAAAAATAAATTGAAAAGAGAACAAAAGGATGAAGAAGAATTATTTTAAAATTTATAACATCAACCAAATATATAAAATAAATAATTAAATAAATAAATCAATATATTGATCTTTATATCCAATCGCCATCTAGCTCTAATATCATAATGTAATAAAAAAATAAAAAAAGAAAATATATAAACATTTACAAAAAAAAGTTGTATATCTCAAAATTATTTTAATAACTATAAACTTTGTTTTTTTAGTTGTTTTTTAAAAAATTATTTTTTTTTACTTTTTTTTTTATTATTTTTGATTTTATATTTTTTTTTCATATTTTTTTTTCATATTTTTTTTTTACCAATTTTTGAAATATATATATTTAATATATACATGCGATGCGCTTGTTAGTATTGAATTTGGATTAATATAAATATTGATTGTTTGAATAAATTATTTTGAGGTTTTGATTAAACTAAAGAATTCAGCTCTTGTACGTGAATCTTTTTCAAAAATACCACAAACTGATGATGTGACTGTAGAGGCACCTGGTTTTTGAACACCTCTCATAACCATACACATATGTGAAGCTTCAATGACGACGGCAACACCCATTGGATTAAGAGCAGTTTGAATAGCTTGTGCGATTTGTCTAGTTAATCTTTCTTGTACTTGAAGTCTTCTGGCGAAAATTTCAGCAATTCTTGCTAATTTACTTAAACCTAAAACTTTTTGATCTGGAATATAACCAATGTGACATTTACCATGGAATGGTACCATGTGATGTTCACAGAGTGAAAAAATATCAATATCTCTAACAACAACCATCTAATTGAAAATAATAAAATATAAAATATTAATATTTGATTTGATTTTGATTATTTGTTTTTATTATTATTATAGCTAATAAAGTTACTTACTTCGTGATGATTTTCGTTAAAAATAGCTTCACCGACAACTTCATCTACTGATTGTTCATAACCGTGAGTGAAAAATAATAAAGCTTTTGACATTCTTAATGGAGTTTTTAAGAGACCTTCTCTTGATGTATCTTCACCTAAACATTCTAAAAGATTTTTGACTGAACCTTGCATATTTTCTAAAACGAGTTGGTTTTGCATTAATGGTTCTCTTTTCTTTGTGGTGTCAATGATGGCTTTTCCCTTTCTGTTTTCATAGATTTCTTCATCATCATTATCGATGTGGTTTTCTTGGTAAACTTGTAAATTTTTATCCATTTTATTTATTTATTTATATATATATATATTGTTTGTGAAAAAATAAAGACTTTAATAAAATTAAAAATTTTAATTTGTTAATATTTAAACTTTTTTTTCATTTTATAAAATTTTTTCATTTATATAAAAAAAAAATAAAAAAATAAAAAAATTAAAAAAAAAAAAAAAAAACTGTTCTAAACTTTTTTGAAATTATTACTAATAATAAATGATGATTGAATTTTTTTAAAGAATTATTATATCTCGTTAGATTGTTAATGGGGGATTGTTTATGTTGTTATGATACGTGGTTGATAAAAAATAAAAAAAATAAACTGTTTTAATCTTTTTTGAAATTATTACATGATGACCGAATTTTTCAAGAAATATTAATGGGGGTATTATTATACAGCAGTTGTTAAAAAAATAATAAAAAAAAGAAAGGGGGTGAAAATCTGTGGGCTAGTATATTTGTGTGTGTGTGAATTTGTACTTGTATGTTTATATGTAAGTTATCATTTGGTGAAGTAATATAATCAAATAAAATAAATTTATAAATATATAATATTATGACAACAAATTAATAGTGTATTATTTTTATTATTTTTATTGTTTTTATTATAAAAATAAAAAAAGAAAGAAAGAAAAAAAAAAAAAAAAAAAGTACCAACCTTTTAAATTAATTTTTTGTAGCGCCACTAATGGGTATTATTACTTTTTGTTGTTTTAAATATGGTATAAATTAATTTTACAAATATAAAAATTAATTTAAAAATTATGAGTGTATTGGTAAAAAAAAAAAAAAATGTATTGAATTATGAAAGTTATTATTAAACTAACAGAATTTAAATTTTATTGTTATTATTGAAAATGAAAAAAAAATTATTTTGAATTTTAAATAAAAAAAATAAAAAAATTTAAAAATTTATAAAAAAAAAAAAAAAAAAAAAAAAAACAAAAAATTTTATTAAAATATAAAAAAAATAAAATTAAAAATCTTTAGAACAAGTTTTTTCTTTTTTAAAAATTTTTTTTTTTTTTTTTTTTTGGGATTGGAATGCATTCTGAGCATTGTGCTGAGAAACTGAATAGTTTCCCAAGATATTCATTCTCGAATTGGTGTATTATAGCACAATAGTTTTTAAAAAAGCTAAGGTGCAATCAAATAAAACAAATAAATTTAATTATTTGATAAAAAAATACACTAAAACGTATAAATTATTTGTTAAACTCCTAATCTTACCTACTTTTAGTTTGGGTTTCTAAAAATTCCCAATTTTCCTTAAGATTGCCGTAAAAATATTTAATTTTTTTAATTTTTTTTTTTTTTTTAAATTTTTTTTAATTTTGAATATCAATAATCTAAAAATCAAATCAATAGGATCCTATTGGGTGCGGTATTTGTTGACTCATACCGAAATTAAAAATAAATTTATAATTTTATTATACATATAATTAAATATTTTTTTAATTTATTATTACTCTTTATCTTATTTTCATTGTGATAATTTATTAAGAAACATGATAAACAAAGAGCAAAAATAAATTTCGATTGATTTTTTTAAAAGAATCTTCACTGATGACTCTTTCAAAAAATATGATTTTTCGTTTGAATATTTTTTTTTTTTTTGTAAAAAAATGCCGATATTTTTTTTATATTTTTCCACCTTGTATTTGTTTTTACTGGTTCTGATTAAATAAATTAAAGAGAACCTTTGTTTTATTTCTTTGAGAATTTCTTTTTTTCTTTTTTTTTTTCTTATTTTCTTAGTTTCTCCTTTTTTTTTTTTTTTTAATTAAAAATTTTTTTTATTTAAAAAAATAAAAAAAAAATTAATTTTTAAAAAAAATACTAAACAATATTAATAATTATATTTTTTTTAAATTATTAAATAATTTTTTTTATTTAATTTTTTTAAAAATTATTATTTTTCATTTTTTTTTATTATTTCTATAGTTTTGAAATTTGTTAGCATTATTATATGACATTATTTGATATTTTCATCTTTAAAAAATTAATTCATTGTGTAAATTATGTGAGATTTGAATTCTTTTTTTTTTTTTTTTTTTTTTTTTTTTTAAATTTTTTTTAAATTTTTCAAATTTTTTTATTTTTATTAAAAAATGATTGATGAAAACAATAAATTAAAAAAAAGAATAAAACAAGAAATAGATAATAACAATAATAACAGTAATAATAATAATAATAATAATAATGATAATGATATAAAACTTACCACTAACGATAGTAATAATAAAACTCAACAACAATCAAATGTTTTACAGAGTGGTTTTATAGGTGCAATTTATTTAATTGGTTTACAAATTATTTCAAGAGTATTTACATTCATTTTAAATACACTCGTAATTGTTGGAGTTGATGATAGTATATTGGGAGTATCAGCAATTCAATATCAATTATTATCATCTATTATATTATTTTTATCACGTGAATCAATAAGAAGAGCATGTAGTCGTACAAATATTCAAGAGAGCAAAGAAAACTTAAAATCAGTTATAAATTTATCATGGGCCATTTTACCAATCGGTATTCTTTTATCAATTGTTTTTGAAAACTTTTTCTTGTACACCAGCAATAAAGAAACATTAATGATACCAAATTATCATTATGGGTTAAGATTATTTACAATTAGTGCAATCTTGGAGTTACTCAGCGAACCAATGTATATTTTAGCACAGAATTTATTATTATTCAAAATTAGAACTTCTGTCGAAGGTTTTGCCTTATTTTTTAAAACACTTTCAACTTATTATTTCATAGTTATATTAAAGGTAAATATTTAATAAATTAACATCGATGTTATATTTTATAAGCTATTCTAATATTATTTCTTCAAATTTTAGTTGGGATTAAAAGGATTTGGTTATTCACAAATTTTATATTCATTGGTTTTAGTTTTTGGTTATTTTGGTTACTTTTTATTCAATGTTTCAAAGAATAGCGGAAATTCAAATTTAAAAATATTTACATCAGTTAATCAATTGTTTCCAAGTTTTACAACTATAGATAGAGGTTTAATTAAATTATCAGTCATTTATACTTGGCAATCAATCTATAAAATATTATTAACTGAGGGTGAAAAATTTGTTTTATATTTTTCAGAAACTAACCAAGGTCAAGCTATTTTCGCAGTAGTCTCAAATTTAGGTTCATTAATAGTTAGATTTTTTATTTTTGCCAATAGAAGAAACCTGTTTTTTAATGTTCCCAAAATTATTCAACTCTAATAATAATAATAATAATAATAATAATAATAATAATAATAATAATGGTAGCAGTAATAGCAATAATAATTATAAAGTAGGTGCAGGTGTTTTAATTGTAATGATGAAATTTTTAATATTGGTAGCATTGGTTTTCACATGTTTTGGTCCAGGGTTTTCAGATTTATTATTAAATTTATTATATAAAAACAAATTTAAAGATTCAAATGCAGGTGTATTATTGGGATTTTATTGCTTATACGTTGGATTTTTAGCAGTTAATGGGGTATCAGAAGCTTTTGTTCACAGTGTTGCAAAAGAAAGTCAATTAAAAATTGTAAATTTAGTTTTGGTTGTAATTGGTGTCATTTATTTATTATTTACATTACTTTTATGTAAATTATTCCAAAATATTGGTATTATTTTAGCAAATTGTCTAAGTAGGTATTATTTTATTTTAAATAATATTAATATTGGGTATTAATTTTTTTATTATTTGTTTTTATTTAGATATGTTATTAAGAATTATTTATAGTATATATTTTATGAAAATATTCTTTAAAGATTATAAAGACATAAAGATCGA